TATTTTAAAAATACAGAGAACAACAAATGTCTTCTGGTTGTTGTTTATTAAAAGGATAGAGTGGTGTGATGAGCAATGTCTTCAACAACAGCCCTTAGTAGATAAAGTTCCAGTTTCACTTGGCTGGACGCCTGTCAGTACTGAAAGTTGGCATGATGTCATAATGCAGGTCAGCAAGAGCAACCTGTCTGGAGCCAGGAGATCTCATTCAAGAGCCCAGTTATTTTATGGCGTGGCTCTATCTATTGGAGAGTAGGCAAAATGTACACCACCAGGGAATAGTTAGACTAAATGTCCTCTATTCATGCAGTTTTGCACAGCTAGATTTTAATTAAAATGGACCTACCATGCTCGCTGGCCAACAGAGAGATTCTATATGGCTGAGTAGGAGCAGATCCATATGCTTTAACCTTCCACCAATCAAAGGTTATAATCAAGATTTTCTCTTATAAATTAAATACACATTTGGATATATGTAGAAGTCAGAGCTAAACATATTTATTTTGGGATTGTGAGCATATAGGTCATAAGAATGGATAGTATCACTCAAGGAGAGAGGGTTGATTTTTTAAAAAGAGGAATGAGGTGATATGAAAGAGAACATATTTGCAAGAAGTATTTGATTCCAGACAAAGAGCCAAGGAGCAGTGTTGAGGCAATCTGTACTCCTGAATATGGTTCGTTGACTGCTCGGCTCTCAGGAAAAGTATTCTTGATGAGCTAGAGTCTCTGCCTTAGGGGAATTGAATTTATTGCCAAATTTGCCAGCCTGAGAGCTGCAAAGCAATTGGACAGCAGGATAGTCAGATCTGCAAATATTCTCTCTCCTCCCCTCCCTACTTCTCCCCTATTCTCCCCCTCTCTCTTTTTTTCTCCCTCTCCCTCTCAATGAGAAAAATCCCTTCTGTTCTGATTGAAAAAGGGTCCTAGAAACATTTTTTATCTATAAATTATTCATGCAATAGTACAGCAAAGATTGTATTAAAGGAAAATTTTTATTTTATGCTCAAAGCAACTTCATTTTGTAACATGACCAAGTATTAGAGAAATTCAGGTAATAATTTGTAAAATGACTCAAATTCAGCTCTAAATATTGTTTCCAAGCTTAAAATATGATGGTTGTTTCCCAATGTTATCTGTAAAATAACAAAGGAAAAAGAAATATGGACATACAGATACGCTCTTATCTGTCACACACACCACCTGAAAAGCAAAGAATTATTTTTGCTTGGCACATTTGTGAGAAAGAGATAAAGGCATGTACAGGCTGTTTAAATGATTTCTTTGAAAGATGCACATTCATCCACAGTTTCCAGAAGGGCAACGTGCATGTTACGCCTGGAAAGAGAACAAGTGAGGATGAAGAGACCATAGCTGTTTCTTGCCAATAAAGGGTTGCCATAGAGAAGATGGATTGAATTCGTGCTTCCAGATTAAAATAGGAGAAAGAGACTGAGGGAAGTTGGGGCCCTACTATGAGGAGAGATTCTCATGGTTGGACCCCCAAAGATGGGATGAGCTGCCTTGTCTGGCAGTGAGTTCTTCATCCACGTGCTAGTCAGATGGGGCAGTTGTAGAGCAACCCGAGTGTCAGCGACGCAATGGCTTGGCTGTGAATCCTACACCAGAGTGACCGTCAGAGTCTCCTGGGGAGCTCTTAAACTGTAGACCCTTTCGAGCATTTATCCTGTCTCTCTTGTAATAATCAAAAGGAAATTTCTCCTTATTAAGATGCTATAGTTAATGCATGAAAAAAAAGGAATGATGGAAATATTGCCATTGTACTACTTCTAATGAATTAGTGGATCTGTGTAATTAATGATGGCAGCCATTAATTAAAAAGAGTGACAACTAGGATCATGTACCTCCTGATGAAAGTACACATCAGTGCCAGACCGGTGTGGCTCAGTGATTGAGCATCAACCTATGACCCAGGAGGTCACATTCGGTTCTGGATCAGGGCACATGCCTGGGTTGTGGCCTCTATCCCCAGTGTGGGGTGTGCAGGAGGCAGCCAATCAATGATTCTCTCTCATCTTTGATGTTTCTATCTCTCTCTCCCACTTCCTTCCTCTCTGAAATCAATAAAAATATTTTTTTTTTAAAAAGTACACATCACCTGTGAAGTACACCATTCAGAAAATCAATACCTAATCTAACCTTGCCCCTAGCCCCTAACTACCAATTGAATTAAATATGGGGGTCATGGAATATATTAAATGAAACTATGGAAATTTCATCAGCAGAATCCAGGATGCAGGAAACAGCTAATTACTTCAACAAATAAATTATGAGATGTCAAAAAAAAGAGCAGAAAAGGGGGAACCTACAAATTAAAAAGACTTCGGAGACATAGCAAACAAGTAAAATTGATGGGCCTTTTTTTATTCTGATTTGTTGTTTTTAAAAATTTATTTCAAAATTATGAGATAATCTGCCAAAATGTTCTTAGTTCAGGGAGTTGGTATGTTGGAAAGAGGGAGATTAGCATGATGGTGTGTTTAAAAAAATTTCCTTGTGGCATTCTAAGCTTATGCCTAAGAACAAAACCCATTTCAGGTTGGCAGAAATTGCTCACTCCCTTCTGAAGCTGGCACCATACGACACGCAGACGATGGAGAGCCGGGGGCTTCGACGCTACATCATGGAGATGCTACCAATTACCGACTGGACAGCCGAGGCAGTGAGGCCAGCCCTTATCCTCATTTTAAAGAGATTGGATAGAATGTTCAACAAAATTCATAAGATGCCTACTTTGAGGTGAGGAGACCTCCTACTCAGCTGTTGATACTGCAATCCTCAAAGTTAGGCTGTGTCCCTTTTTAAGGTGTTGGATCAATCTGGAGTTGAAGGGTTGGCTTGAAAGTTTTCTTTTGGAATATGTGCATAACTGATTAGATTTATGAATGCATAAGTAACAGGGTCTATATTTTAAGAAATAGCATTTTCAATATATATATATTTGTCTTGAAAATTCTTGTTGTTTCTAAGCTATTATGTTCCTTATCTGACACACATAGGAATTTGATGTGTATCCTTCAATTACTTTTGAAGTAAAGCAGGATATGCCTTGTAAATAAAACAACTAAGGAAAGAAGAAAAATTAATTTGATGTTCAAAAAAATACTGTATTTAACATGATATTTTAGGTACCAGTGTAGAGAAAAGCCAAGCTTTACAATAATAGGCAACCAGCAGCTTTAAAAAAAAATCCTAGGATTGATAACAAATACCTAGTTTTTAACTTTTCGCCTAATTCAGGGCTACTCAATGGACATTATCACCACCTAATCTTCGTTCAGTGGCCTGAAATGCCCATTGGTAGCCTTGCTGTGAGCAGATGCCTCTGACCCAGTCCACCTGAGATCTGAGCGCAGCTTGGACACGTATCGCCATAGTGAGCAGATAGCTCAACTGATAATGCGAATGAGCCCTCTAACTCGGAATTTTCAAGCTTGGGTTAGTGAGAACATTTTCTGTCCCTTTAAACCAAATCCAAAATCAGTGCAATTCTTGCCTCGAGAATTTGTAGCAGTTAGTGTTCAATGTGTCAGAGCTTTTCCAGGTTTTAGCCTGTGCTCTTCATTCATGCAGCCACAGAAATTATTGAATTTATTTTAAGAAAGAAATGGAAAGATTTTACTCTAATAATGGATGGTTTGTTCCTATATTATCTCATGATGAGGAATGCCTACGCATTATATTATCAGTGGCATGAAAATACTTGTCTTTAAAGCACTCCTGTTTTCTTTAGTGGTCCCAATAGAACCCTTGTGCCTATTGGCAAATGACCAAAGCCTTATAAGTCCTACAAGAGTGTATCAAATAAATTATTTTTCTGAAATAATTTTTTATCTAAAGATGTTAAACATACCCATAGGCTGACTCATTTGTCCTATAACTAAACCAATTATTAAATGCATCATGCTTCATAAAAGTAGATTTCTGGATTAATGCTTAGACTTGGTCAATTATAGGCAGTCTTCTTGGGGTGCATGCGGTGAATTTGGGATTGCCTTGGATTTAATTTCTTCAGGTGATCTCAGTTCAACAAGAGTAGTGTTGATTGAACCTGACCTGTAAGTTACTCGGATATCATGAATGTCAATATCTTCCCATTTTGTCATTGCAGATACCTCATTTTGGTAGGAAATGTAAGCCTAGAAATTATATCCAGGATAATATTTGGAAATAGTATTGATAGCAGTAAAGCCCAACCTATTTATTTGGTACAGCAATTGCAGGCTGGACTGACTTTTATTACTGAAAATCCTGTCTTCATTTAATTGGGTTATGTATACTACCTTTTATATTACCAAAGTAAGTAGCCAAAAAGTATCATTTCTTAGGGCAAGAAAGAATACTTTTAAAATAAACTATTTTACTCTAATGTGACTTTTTTTGGCAGGAGTTAGGCCATAAAAGTTCAATTAAGAGTAGCCTAGCCTGGCTGGAAAGCTGATGAGATCAACTGTACTCTGCTAGAGAGATTTCAGAAATGGCAACCTGGGGCCAGATGAGTTCTGTTGGGGGTAATTACCCCTGTGATGGTTTCCTAAAATGGTAGTCTCCTACCCTCTCTTCAAAGTAAAAATAGGGAACTACAAATGCAACCCATTCATCATCTCTGTCTTTTTCTTCGATAGATTTTGTCTCATTAGTCAAGTGGGGCAGGAGGGCCTCTGCCACGTTTTCAGTATCTCCTTCCCTTCCCAGTGTGCTCTGTGCTTTCGGAACAACTGGGTAAACTTCATCCCATGTGAAGTGCTTTGTTGTCTCAGACGCCCATGCCGTCTTAGTTGGCGTCAGAATCACTGTCTCATTCACCTGTTTCAGACTGTCTCCAGAAGGGAGCCACGCTGCTAATGGCTCCTGTATTGTATTCCAGGCGACAGGTTGAGTGGGAGCCTGCCAGCAATTTGATTGAAGGGGTTTGTTTGACACTGCAGAGGCAGCCAATCATATCCTTCCTGCCTCACCTTAGGTCACTGATCAATGTCTGTGTCAATCTGGTGAGTAGCCAAGTGGCAATCTTATGAAATTTTGCACAATTTAACTCTGCTATTGACTTCTCTGAATTGAAGATTTACAGGTCAACCACTTTGTGCCCCTACCTACCCATGAAAACAGACGGCTCAGGTGACACTGAAAATAGTGAGGTACCTTTCAAGGTGGTGCGTGGGGAGATGCAGGGGCCCGTCCGACACAGATGGGATTTTGGCGTGCTGCTTCCCACACACTACTTTGACAGGTCACCTCTTCAAGTTGCGCTGAGAGCTGAGGGCTGCCAGTTGGAGAGTGGGGTGGCGGAGACCGCACGATTGGCTGGAAATTGAGATAGCCTGGGGCGGGGGAGTTTAAAATACAAAGAGGATTTTTTTTTCTTTTTTTGGTGCAAAATGATTCTCTGAGTTGGCCAGTCTAGGATTTATGTGAAGAAAAACAAATTTTGTGTTATTTATGTAATATCTAGAGTCGGGTCCTGACAAGGTTTTGTACGATGTGGAAACCATGTTAGAGCATTTCATTGAATGGGATCTGCTGCTTAACTAGCTGAGCAATAAATCTGTAGCTGGAATGCCTAGTGCAACTAGAGCTCTTACCATCCTCATTGTTGTCAGTACTTGCTCCATCAAAAAAATGTTGACTGCATTCCTTCGAATCCACAAGTAAGTATGTCCAGTCTCCTGATTAGAATAGTTCTGGGACTCATCTCTCATTGTTGACATAGTTAGCTGTAAACAACATTCTACAAAACCTTGCCTGAATCCAGTGTTATGTTTGAGCTGACTCCAGACATTACATGCCTTCAGAAGGAGGCAACAAGAACAGATTGAAAGTAACATGCCCAACCTTCAAATTATTATTATTATTGAATGACACTCCCTTACAATGGTTGCATGAAATTGCAATAGCCAAGGCTGGTCATGTGCTCTGTTTGTATTTCAGGTGATGGGAGTGGTAGGACCTTCCAGTGTTGCTGATGGATTACCCCTTCTTCATCTCAGCCCTTATCTCTCACCACCTCTGCCCTTCAGCACAGCTGTTGTCCGGCTTGTAGCATTGCAGATACAGGTGTGACTGCCTTACCTGTTTGTCACGCTCATTAAGTTGCTGGTCGAGGCACCAGATCATGGTGTTCTCTTTTTGTTTTCTGCAAAGGCTGGGCAAAATCTGTGAAACAGAAGTGTGAACATCTCCAAACTTTTACAGTTTGGAGTCTCAGCCCTGAGCTTGGCCCTAAGTTGTGCTTCTGTAATTCTTCTTGAGATCTCAAAAATAGCAGAGTCGTTCAGTCCTACCATGACCTCAGGAACCACTTCAGTCATTTAAAATGTTGCTTATACCATAGGAAAATAATAGTTCTCAGATAATCAGCACACAATTATTAATTAAAAGAGACAGTAATATTCAAAGTCTGGTTTTAAATTATTTGTAGAAAGAATGGCAATATACAGTTCTTTCAAATGTTATTACTAGACTTTGAATATTTTAATTTTATTTAATGATTGTGGATTGAATATTCTGAGTACTTTTTTTCATTCTCCTAGCTATTTTATTTCTTAAAATTAGAATAATCATCCCCAAGGCAAAAAGTGAAGAATGCAAATTCCCCTGCCTCTTTCTGTGTATCTGATGTTTGTGACTGATAAATCTTGGGAAGTATACTACTGATGTAAATGGATAACTGACCCATTCATTGTCTGACAGCCATGCTTGGTGGGCTATCAGCCAGAGAATGGGAAGATGATAGAAAAGAAATTAAGCAAGAACTGTGGCTCCCATGCAGAGGGGAAACAATGATATCCCTAAAGTGATACACATCAATAATTTGGGCACAGAGATCATTTCTTTCTTTCTGTATTACCTTTTGCCTCCTGGCTTGGAGAAGGCCTTAGGCAGGGGTCAGAGGACTTTTAAATGACTTCCAAGTGGATCAGGGGGCAAGTTCTCATTTTCTTCCTTTCCTTTTGTCTTGAAATTATTTATTGGTGGACCCATGGAGAAAACGAATGGGGAAATATGGTTGTTTTGTAGCAGACCATAATTTTTCATTTAATATTCAAGACGTTATTGTTTTTTAGGTATATAGCTCTCAGTTATGTCAAGCAAATAATGGTAAAGTATCAGTTTTGAGTGAATCTTGGATGCTGCACAGATGACAATTGAACTCAGTTTACAGGAGCAACCACCAGGAAGTCACCATCGCGGTCATGCTGTATTAAAACAAACATGAGTATGGGGGTCAATTAATCTCTTTTTCTATTATTGCTGCACAGGCTTTAAAAGAAGATTTCCCTTTAAGCCATGTGATCTCCCCATTCACCAATCAAGAGCGAAGGGAAGGGATGCTTTTAAACCTACTCATCCCATTTGTGCTCACAGTAGGATCTGGAAGCAAAGGTCTGATTAATTTAACTAAAGGAAATTTATCATTGTTTCGTTGTCTTAAATGTCAGGTTTTACTTCTCTTTCTTTTTTCCCAAAAAGGCCATCACTGAAGTCGATCTGAATGATTTAAACAGGGTTACTTTAGGAAATAGATTTTCCTTCATTTTCAATTTAGCTGCCCTGGGTCAAGACTTTCTCTGCTCCATTTCTTAGAAGATCAGTTGTATCCAAAATCATTTCAGTACAGCAAAAATCAGGAGACCATTGTTTCAATTAAGAAAATGGCATTAATTAAAGTACAGTATTATATGAATTGACAGATGAATGGGCCATGTAACCTACTGCCACTGGGGTTAGTGTCATCCTGCCACTGCCATTAAATTCCAGTATAGTTTCATCACTCGTCCTTCTTGGGAGGATTTTTCTTTTAGGAAACTTTATATCAAATGTAAAGACTGTGCATTATGAGTATTTGAGCAGAAAAAGGGAAGGCGATTGAAATGGTAAGCAGGAGATTTGGCTAAGAGCACAGGCCCTTGGGCGCTGACCATGGAGCAAACAGTGCCAGGAACACTTGTCCATAGGAGAAGCTGTACTCTGTGGGGAAAGACCCCCATTTCTAGTTTGGAATTGGACAGAGAGCTGAGTTGTTCTGTGTCTGATGTGGGAAGTCTACCTCGTGACTTGCTTTTCTTTCCACTTCCCGTTCCCGAACTCTGCCCCTCAGATAGCCCGTGGCTGGAGCAGCCCGAGGTGCAGCTGCTACTGCAGACGGTCATCAACGTGCTCCTGCCTCCGCGGATCATCAGCACGTCCAGGAGCAAGAACTTCATGTTGGAGAGCTCCCCCGCTCACTGCTCCACCCCGGGGGACGTGGGGAAAGACCTGCGCAGGGAAGGGCTGGCAGAGTCCACCAGCCAAGCTGCGTACCTCGGTGGGTTCTTTCTCCGTCTCCCCTCCTTTCTGTCTCTGTAGATACACAGGTGCATGTAGAGGTAGGTATGCAGGTGTATGTATATGCATATACATACCTACTTAGCTACCATCCACTTTGGCTCAAGAAATATATGCTTTTAAAGGCCTCCATCAGGAAAGTACTGAAAGACTCCACTTGAGCAAGCAAGAAGCACCACCCTTGCAAAAGAGTCTGGTTTCTGTCAATAAACATATGTCCAGAAACAGTCTGTTCATATCTGTGAGGCCTAAATCGCTTGGTCATTTCTGTAACAGCGTCTGAGCCTGTAAGGAAGGCTTCTGCAGTGAGAATTCCTCCTTGTTGACTAAGCATGAGGTCGCTAATGAGGCTATCATCCCTAACTGTTATCAGATCGCGGCTCAGCCTAGTGTAGGAGGACACTGCATTGCACAGCTCGTGGGATGTATTGGTCTGTCAGCTGTGTGAATGGAGCCCCTAGAGTTGGGCAGCCTACATCCTGCACAGCAAGACATATGGCCTTGCCGTATATTGTGCCTCCTACTAGCTGTTTCTCTTCCCTTACAATATGGTCTTAAATCTCTATCTTGATCTTCATTCTGGTGATCTTGCTCTCCCGTAAGCTTGCTAATTCCCTTCCCCTCCACTCCTGCTTTCCCATCACCCTGCCCCTGCCTTTCACTTGATCCTGACCCATGCATTACGGGAAAGCCACTCTTTGGCCCTGAATAACCTAGGCCAGGGGGGAAAGACCACTCTTGCCACAGCACTGAAAATCAGGAGCATGCCAGCAGAAAACCGCAAAAGGAGGACGTTGAGTAAATCTTGTCTGACATTTTCAATTCATCAAAGCACCAGGTGCTTGCTGTTGGGAATGTGTGCGGTGCATGGACTGCATTATAAAGGGGTGCATTTGAAAATGATGTGATTGACAATGAGAATTAAAAAAGGGGTAAAAACGGAAGAAGCATGTGCATAAGCCCTACCCCCGTGGGGCTTGGCTGCCAGAGGCATGAGAACACAGGGTTCGGGTAAACTCCGGACTCTGGGACAAAGCCCTGTGTGAGGTTTGGGATTTTAGAGAGGATGTGGAGAAAGAGGGCTTCACGTCTAAGAGGAGGATAGGAGAAAACACTTAAGTGACTCTTCTTAGTTCTCTCCACTTTCTCCCTTTTTAATGAAGGCCGCTCCTGCGGTCACTCTGCCAAGCTACGGGAGCTATGTTTTAAATTCATTTTTACATTTATTTGAGCATTACTGTGCACTCAGGGGTGTTTTCTATTCTTCACATGATCATCACATTGCACCCTCATAACAACTCTAAGAAGCCAGTGTGTCATTTTCGGAATAAAGAGGCTAAAGGCCCAGAAAGATTGAGTAACTTACCTAAAGCCTCACAGTTAAGAAGTGGCAGGTCCAAATGTCAAGTCCAGGCCATCTAGCAGCAGAGCTCCTGCTCCTGAGCCCTTTGCTGTTCTGTTTGCGTGTTGGGCTGATGGAGGAGAAGATGGAAGTGGAATGGCAGAGGCCCAGAAAAGGCCAGAGGGAACATAGCAGTAGAAATGTCACCAGGGTCAGGGTAGGGGAAGAGCAGGGTTGCTTTTTGATCATTTGTTTGTTTAGTTGCGGGAGGAGAGGAATTGAGATGAGTGGTTGCTGTGAAAAGTGAGATTTTTGAGGAGGGAGGTGGGTAAAGAAGAATCTTACAATGTCTCACTGTTACATGGCATGGTTTTCTCCTGGAAATGCCCTAGATAGATGGGAAAGGCGTGTGTGACTCTTGAGGACTTCAGGGAGTTAATATCTATGTGTCTTTTAGTTGCTGAGATGGGCACTGAAGAGTCATGATCAAGAAGGCCCAGGGCCCCTTGACGGCCCCATGGCAGACTCGGGGGGGAGGGCTGTGGCCAACCGAGCTCCCACCAATCTTTGATGTCTTTACAGAATCCTGGTTGGTCCTGACACACTGGGAATTCCCCTTTCTGTGGGCGGGGGGATGGAGTGGGGAGTAGATTATGACATGGCTGCCAGAATCTGAAAAAGAAGAGATATTGTGAAAGAAATCCAATAGGGCTTAGTAATAGTCCTGATGCACAATATGGAGGTGGGGTGGCGGGGGGGGAGGTGTGGAGGGAGGAGAGGGGAGTAGTTTTTTGTTGTTGTTTTTTAATCTGGAAGGATATATTCCAACACACCTACTGGTTACCCCCTAGGGAGCAGTTCAGGGTGGGGTCCAAAAGAGAGCTGAGGGGAAGGACTTTTTTGTTTTTGACTTTGTGCATTTCTGCATGGTTTGATTTTACTTTTAATAACAAGAATATATTATTTCTATGCTTAAAAGGAAAATATTTTAGAACACTCATGTTTTAGTTTAGGATGTGGGTGATATGCTGGTATTACCAGAAAGCCGCCACCATGACCAAATGTTTGGAAAGCAAAATAGTGTCCACGCATCATGTGTAGAACACATTTCCCTTCCAATTCTACGAACTGCTTTGCAATGTCTTTTTCAAAAATAGTACTTCAATGCCCCTAAGAAAGATATCTGTGCTCTCCGATTCAGAATGAAAGCATGTCTACCACACAAATGTTTGTCTTCGTGTCAGAACATTCTCACTCGCTCAGGGGTATGGGTAGGTTTGGGGAATCATGGAGAGAGTTTGGAAATTTAGAAACATCCTGATGCATAGCGGGCGGTGGGTGGGCAGCCGGGGCGGGCAGGGCTCCCCCGAAGCTCCAGACCAAGGCTCCGTCTTCTCTCTCCCTGCTGTGAAGCTCTCAAGGTGATTCTCGTCTGCTTCGAGAGGCAGCTGGGGAGCCAGTGGTACTGGCTGAGCCTCCAGGTGAAGGAGATGGCCCTGCGGAAGGTGGGAGGCCTGGCCCTGTGGGACTTCCTGGACTTCATCGTGCGGACCCGCATACCCATCTTCGTGCTCCTGCGCCCGTTCATCCAGTGCAAGGTGTGCTGCGTGCATCTCCTTCCAGGCGTGGCAGCCCCAGGAGTGAGCTGCTCTCTTGTCTCAGGCAGGGCCACAGCAGCGATGTTCATGGACGAACCATAGCTAGTTAGCAAGACCTGTTAAGATCACGCTGGGTGAGGAAGGGACTCAAAAGTGTAGCCCAGAGGATCAGATTTCATGTTAGAAGAACCTTCAAGCCTATAGAACTTTGCATCTTCCCCACTCACTTCCTCCTCTCCTCCTTTCCCGCTCCCCCTCCCCACCAAAAATAAAAATTGACCCCGAGGAGTGATCTAGAAAATGTTCTTTCTTTAGTGGCAGGACTGAGCTCTGATTTTAAATAAACAGAGAAAGATGTGATAGTTAAAGCATGTTTGTCCTCTGAGACCCTCACTATTCTATTCCATTTTATTCCTTTCTTCTTCTTCTTCTTTTTAACCTTTTATTCTTCTCCTGCCCCGATTTCCTGGGGCAGTGATTCAAAGCAATGTATTGATTAAGCACTTCAACACTGTCCTATAAACTTCATATGGATAACCTTAGTTAACCCTCACGACCAACTATGAAAAAAGTGCGATGATTAGCCCATTTCACAGATGGGGAAACTGAGGCCCTGAGCATCTCCACCTTCCTTCCAGCTTCTGGCCCAACCAGCAGAGAATCACGACGAGCTTTCTGCCCGGCAGCACATCGCTGACCAGCTGGAGCGGCGCTTCATTCCCCGCCCTCTGTGCAAGAGCTCCCTCATCGCCGAGTTCAACAACGAGCTGAAAATTCTGAAGGAGGCGGTTCACAGTGGGTCAGGTGCGTGTGCATGGGCTTGGCCAATAAAGATGCCACTCTTCGGGCCGCTGCTCTCTTCGGAACCATTTGGGTTAGCCATTTCGGAACACTGACAGATGTGCCTATGCGATCATTGGCAACAACAAAACCAGTCAAGGGGACATCATTGGTTTTATTGTACTCCTTTTCTAAACATTGTTTGCGATATTTATTTCAGTGGGTAAGCTGCTTCTTTTTTTTTAGTTTAACTGGGGAAAATATATTTTAAATGTGTGCCTTCATTTCCTTTTCGGAAAGGAGAAGGGGGACTCGCATGCATTGAGCATCTATTCTTTGGTAGATTATTTCATAGGTGTTATTTCATTTAATCCACACAAATACCTACAAGATGTCTGAGAGTCCACTTATAGCATGAGGAAGCAGACTGATAAAGGATCAGTAACTTACATGCCAGTGACAACAGGGAGGGGACTTCAAGCCAGGTCTGCAGGATTGATTAGAAAGCCTCGAACCCTTCACCAACTGGAGGGAGAGAGGGTTGAATCAGAGCTGGCAGACGAGGAGATACTTCCTTTATATTTTTCAAAGTATTTTCTTTGGGAATACATTGCTTGCTTTTTTGTAACAATAATGAACAGATTACGGAGGGAGAAAAATAAATCATCTGCCATTAGAGGGCAGTCCATACCCATAAATGGAATATTCCATGTGTGGCTTTTTTATTGTTGCTTGCAAAGTATTAAAGACAAAAATGTTGACAAGTACAATCTTGGAGAAATTTCCACAGAGCCATTCAAATATTCTGCTTTATAATAAAAGAATCTGACATAGAACCTTGGGGGGTATTTTATAAATTGTAATTTCCAGAAAAGGAGAATAAGAGAACGGTTTGATTATATATTCTGATTTTTTTTTTTTTTTTTTGGTAAGGTTTCCATCAGACAACACATTTATTACTTTCATATGCTTGTGTCAGGTGAGGTATGTTTCTCAGTAAAATCTGCCAGGTTGGAAGCTACAATTCGTGTCAAAATTAATTTGCATTCTACCAGCCTTGGAAAATGAAATTGAAAAACAGCAAGAGAGGAAGCAATGTCAAAGCATTTCACATTGTTTTGTAATTTCATGCTCCCACCAGGAAACTATTCAGTTTATAACAGTGACCAATTCTAACTTTTCACTTTAAAAACTAAATGTTCTCACTTCCATTTGCTACTTTGTCTTAAAGGTCATTCATCTGGGACACACCATTTAACTGACTTTTCTTAAAAAATACAAGTGCTCAGGGAGGAGTGTGAAGCGAACACTTGTTTTCAAGATCCTCACCAGGGATTTCCTTTGGTCTCCCCACCCCCTAGCCTACCAGGGCAAGACGTCCATCAGCACCGTGGGCACCTCCACCTCTGCCTACCGCCTAAGCCTGGCCACCATGTCCCGCTCCAACACGGGCACCGGCACCGTCTGGGAGCAGGACAGCGAGCCCTCCCAGCAGGCCTCGCAGGACACCCTGAGCCGGACCGATGAGGAGGATGAGGAAAGTAGGTCGCCCCACAGAAGCCGGCAGGTGGGGGGGACGGGGGTGTGGGGAGAGGGCAGGGGGCAGGAGGTGACACAGCTTGGCCATGCCAATGAGGGCTTGAGAAGGATCTCTGTCTTTCCAACCCTTATCAGTTCTGACCCCCTGGTCATTTTCACAACAAGGTTTTAAAATGGAACTGTAGCTGATCCCATGATTCCTACAGCCTGCTCTTCTTACAAATTTCTTGATGTACTTGATCATCTGGGAGGAATTCAGGCAAAAAGTAAATCTTTGCTTTGAGCTTATATATTCAGCTTTTTTTCATTAGCTCTCATTTAAATTGTGCTTAAGTAACTAAGGGAAGTGTTTAGGCTCCTTTCTCCTGGCCATCTTGCTTAGAGGGTTGATCCCCTTAGATCAGCGGTTCTCAACCTGTGGGTCGCGGCCCTTTGGGGGTCGAACGACCCTGACAGGGGTCGCCTAAGACCATCGGAAAACATATATCATTGCATATTGTTTTTGTGATTAATCACTATGCTTTAATTATGTTCAATTTGTAACAATGAAATTGGGGGTCACCACAACATGAGGAACTGTATTAAAGGGTCGTGACATTAGGAAGGTTGAGAACCACTGCCTTAGATGATTCCATTGGGCAAGGAAAAGTGAGCAATGGATACGTTCAGGACTCAGAAGGGATCAGTCGGCTATCCCCGTGGTCGGCAAACTGCAGCTCTTTGGCCCCTTGAGTGTGGCTCTTCCTAAGCCTTAGCTGTACCCTAATTAAGTTAATAACAATGTACCTACCTATATAGTGTAAGTTTAAAAAATTTGGCTCTCAAAAGAAATTTCAATCGTTGTACTGTTGATATTTGGCTCTGTTGACTAATGAGTTTAACGACCACCGGGCTATCCTATCTAGAACGTGAACCAGCATGCTGTTCGGAAGGAATACCGGTGACTGAAAGAGCCCATGAGCTTCTAAGGCAGTGGTTCTCAACCTGTGGGTCGCGACCCCTTTGGCGTTTGAACGACCCTTTCACAGGGGTCGCCTAAGACCATCCTGCATATCAGATATTTACATTACAATCCATAACAGTAGCAACATTACAGTTATGAAGTAGCAACGAAAATAATCTTATGGCTGGGTCACAACACGAGGAACTCTATTTAAAGCGCCAGAAGGTTGAGAACCACTGTTGTAAGGCATATGCTTAAGATTTGGTGTTGTGAAATGAGGAGTAGGATGCTTTTTTTTTCATTTTTATTTTTTATTTGTTTCACATTCATGATTATTCTGCATTAGTTTCAGATGTGTACAGCAAAGTGAGTAGGAGCAGGTTTTAAAAAAATAAGAGGGGAAAGGTTCCATTAAAGACTACTATTATTTAATGCTTTTTAAAATTGCATTGATTATTTTCCGAGTGTGTTTTAAACACACTCTGATGTAACATTTATAGTGAAGTGTGCTGTCAATGGATGCCTTAAGAATGAAAACAAAATCTAAATCTTTGATCAGAGCCCCTTCAGAGCAAACAAAAACAAAAAGCCCTGAACTAAATGAAATAGAGGGAATGGGAGCTGACGACAGAATTTTAATTAATTAAGAAGAATGAATGTGTTCTAACAGCCTACTAGAGTTGGAATGGGTGAAAGAGAAGAAATAAATGCTGTGTCAAAACACCTATGAGTAATGTTATCGGATTTAGTTTCAGAGTTAATCAGATAACAAAGTGATAATTATATTGTCCTGCACCCAACCTATCGACATACTTGTTTCTAAAGCACCCTGGTCACTGCTCATGGAAATACTCCTAAAACTGTAATTAGGGAAATGTTGAAGGGGTAAACAAAAAACAAGAAAATGAAATGAGAGAGATAAGGATCAGCAGTTTGAATATTTGTTAAGTCCTAGGAATAGTTCAGAACTTAAAGTAATATCTATTTTTCTTTAATGTTTGAGGTAGTCTCTCAGCAGTTTGTTTTTTAATGATGGGAAATGATACAACCTGTCTTTAGAAGAGCTAAAGTTATTTTGAAGGTACCCTTATGAATCAGTAGATAACCGAAGCAATAGGAAGGAGCTAGGGGTGTAAGAGTAGAGAAGACATAAACAGAGATATCATTGACCAAATGCCAACGCTCACACAGTGACAAGTGTGAAATTTTTTGCTAATATTCTGCTCTCAGCCATCACAATCATCCCAATGAAAGCAGGGTTGCTAACAAATGTTGTAGTGTGGCTGTGATGTGAGTGTGTATTGATTTATATGAACTGGGCTATGAAAGCTAGAGGGTTGACTGCTTTGAATTAAACTGTTTTTTCATTTAATCATCAAACCTGTTTTAAGATCCAGCAGGAACAGGGAAGTATGAGAAAGATATGTTCTCCGCCCTCTAAAATCTTAGAGGTCTTGTAGAGGAGATAACATTTTCTCTAATGGAAGAATGGAAGGTAGCACATGATTAATCACCAAACAAATATTGAGACAAATATTGAGGGTGTAAGTGTTAAGTGATATATTAGTCTGAATAAGGGGGGGGATCAATAGGAGCTGAAAGGCCTTTGAATCACAATTCTGTCCTACTACTTTTTCATGATTTTTAAGGCACATTTGCTAGTTTGCTTCTCTGTACATGCACCTAAAAAGTAAATACTATTCTATAATAAGAATCAACTTCAACCCATCATTATATAGCAAATTACAATTTCTAGCACTTTTTATATTCACTGTCTTGGCTTGAAATAACTTTCATTAGAAAGATGACCACTTGGGATATTTTAAATAAATGATATCAGATGACCTTAGATGGTAACGAAGGTTCGCCAAAACTCTATGTTAAACAAAATACGTTTACTGTCCAGTGATAAACAATGTTAGCTCACTTAGAATGAGGTAACTTTGTCGTAAATTCTGTGCTAAGTTAACCTTCACAGGGATTTGAATACATTGATTTCTGCTTTTATGGAGAAAACAAGACTATGTGCTTAAAACTTAAAATTTAGGTTAATATTACTTATGAACTTTTAGGTTTTCAAAAATAGTTTTCAAAAATATATCTGAAATAGTCTTTCTCTCAGCAGTCTAAAAATCATTAAATGTACTGAATGTAGCATTTGAATATCAAAGAAATGTACTTGATTCTTTCAGTAACAAAGTTTCTCATTTAACTACTCCTGCAATGTTTAAAAAATTATAGTCCAGCTTTTGTGAATTTACAGATCCCCTTGATTTTCACAAATAATCTACTTCTAAAAATGGACAGGAAGTTTATATTTATTTCATGAAAGCTGTTCAAGAATTGGAGATGTGTGGATCTGAAGAATTGTTATTCATCCCTTTGTGCAGATTAAAAACTAAGGAACCTAATGGTCTTTTGTGATTCCCCCCCCCCCCCATGTACATACTTTCATGTAGCTTTATGTCAGCTAAGTTTTCCTCACCCAAATGAAAGAAGCATCGCTTTAACTTGCAGTTCTATTTCCATCCTCAAGGTGGCAATGTTCAGTAACTAGAGGCTAAGCTTTATACAAATAGGAAAGGTGTTTCTTAAGACCCCGATGTCTTGGCTTTTAATCTGTACAAAGGGACAAATGATCATTTCGCTTTAGAGACTGTCGTAAGGTTATATGCAGGCCAAGGATGGGACCCACATGCAAATTTGGATTGGGTTTTCTGATCAATGTCGTAGTTTTATAACACCCCATTCTTTGCCCCGCTCAGATGACTCCGTGAGCATGCCCAGTGTGGTAAGTGAACAAGAAGCTTACCTCCTGAGTGCCATTGGAAGGAGGAGGTTCTCCAGCCACGTCTCTAGCATGTCCGCACCTCAGGCTGAGGTGGGCATGTTACCGAGCCAAAGGTAAAGAACCATGGATATCTTATACTCTGCATTTGGGGGAAACGTAGAAATTCTGAAAATTCACTCCTTTTATTCTGAAAAGGCTGAAAGGGAAGCAAACAATCGATGTTTTTAAGTAGGCCATTCAACTAGGGTTGTACAGGCAACAATTAGGGGTGAGTTTTCTAAGCCAGGGCCGTAGAAGGGATTTCAATTTCTGATCCAAGCATCGTTTCTCCTTTAAAATGCTCCATAAATAGACACATGGTCTTCTTTCAAATGACATTCTCATATTTCTGATATATAATTAGCTAAGCTAATAATGAGTACCTGGCAAGTATATAGGACTAGCTTGACATATTTGGTAAAGTTTAGACTTCTGGTATGTCATCAGTATTTAGTTGGAGTTAGTGATGCTTAACCAAGCAGAAAAGGACTTATGCTACTATGTGTGCCCTTGGGAAGGTCATTCAACAAGAGTCCACACTTTTCTCCTCTGTGAAATGAGGAGGTGGCTAAAGCAATTGTTAAGTAACTTCTCTATCTATAGCCCCATGTTTCCATGATTAAACCCTTTAAAACATTTTGTTTGGTGTTCTTTGCTTCCTAAGAATATACTATAAAATGCCCTAAAAATATAAAGTCATATGAGCAGTTATTGGTAGCTATCAATATTCTTAATTGTTAGCAATGTGCAAGGTTCCCTCAGGAATAAAATAAAACTATCAATTTATTTAAAGTTTTATTTAAATTAGGGAATTATAGGAATTTAAAATAGAGCTGTTGTTGTTGTTGTTATTTACCTAAAATAACCAGGCCATAAATTCCCCTTGGACATATCTGTTAAGGGGTTAACTCATTTCCAGGGACAAAATTTGTTTTATTAGAGACATACTAGGAATCCAGAAAGATAATCTAGTTACACCCTTTGAGCTTGAGTCATGTTTTGGAAGGCTAGTGAAGGTAATAATGTCTACGTGCATTGGGGAGACAGGGCCCTGTTTTTGGACACAGAGGCTATTTTTACGGTGTACTAGATTAGTTAAATGCTTCTTTGGAGGCAGGCACTCCAGTTTTCCAGTTTTCTAAACGGTTTAACAAGTATTTATTGAGGACCTCATAGGTGCTTATAAGCTCAGTGCTAGGCAGTGAAGGAAAGAAAGGCAAAGTGTGACACAATTTCTGCTCACAAATCCCAAAATCAGCTGCATCCAAGTAAATCAATAAACAATTAACTTATTCTTTCACCAACCTGACAGGTTTCTTCTCTTGCCATTTACCAGTCAGTCACTAGAGGATGGAGTAAGGAGGTAAATGGAGTTCCATGTGGATTCTCCAGGGTTACCTTTCTTCCATTTGTTTACTTGCCTTTTCATTGCAAAATCAGCAGTGGAAGTTGGGTTCTTTCTTTACTTTTCTTTGTGGCATCAGTTCCAAGAGTTTGGTTGTGGCAGTTTATGGTAAGTGGTTTCTGTGTGATGATATCACCACGCACAAGAAAGAAGCAGCGGTCTGCTCAATGAAACTTCACGTACATAAGACAGGTTGAAAACAATAGCCACCCAGCCAAATGGCTACCGAAGGGATGCTAGTTTCATCTTGTACAGACTCATTCTGCAATGTGTTTCCGAGCCCATGTTTTTATTTGGAGCTCATTTTAAGTCCCAACTCTTGACTAATAAGCAGATCACTCATCCCAAGTCCCTCCTATCCCCATTGCCTTGAGTCCTATGTCTTGACAAACCCAGCACAAGGTGAAATGGTTGACCGTCTCCTTTTCCTTCCTTGTTCTGTTAAATTTATTTATTTACTTTTGGTGCTGGGAAGCAGAAAATCGCATGCCTTTTTTCCCTTTTTCTTTCATTTGTTTGCATTTTCTTGCCCTAAATCCTTCATCTCCCTACCCCTCCTGCAGTGAACCTAATGTCCTCGACGACTCCCAGGGCCTGGCCGCCGAGGGCAGCCTCTCTAGGTACAGTGTCAATCAATGCTACCTGTCTATTGGTGTCTGTGCTGGGAAACGAGCTGTTCCCTGTCTCCTCTGTCTCTCTGTCTCCTCTCGCCCGTCTGGATACCTATTTCCATTTCTTGCCCTTTGTTGTTCATGAACACACAAGCCTGGAAGTCAAAGGTGTAGCCTCCTTCATTTTCAGCTTCAGAGCTCAATCACAAACGGCCTGAAAAGCTAATAAAAAAGCAAAATCTGTGGAGTTCTTTTAGGGGCTTGTCCCATGGACATCTAAAATGTTTGATAGGCCAAATGTTAAATTTATCCCATTTAATCATTCCCTCCCACACTGATATTTCCTTAAGAAATGTTGTTTTTGGAAGCTAATTAACTCCCCATCATCAGGAACCCCCTTATTAAATCAAGACCGATCTTTTAACTGATACCATGGATGGTAAGAAAATAATGATGTTATTTGAGAGTAGCAATGTAAATACAACTTATGTAATTCCCTCTCTTGGATGCATGCTATGTGGCAGGTTATTATAATAGCTTGTTCAAATAACACTTATGTAAAGAATGTCTGTCCCAATATAAAGATGACTCCAGAACTTGCCATGAAATGGCAGACACAAACATATCTTGGTCAGGAAAAGAAGTCTTATGGTGCAAACAATATAAAGTCTTGGCAATTGGTTTAAAGCTTCAGAAAGGGGGACTGCACCTTTAACACTCAGATATACCACGTCAAACATTCCTAATCTTGTGCTGTTGATTCACACCTCTCAACTAATCCTCATCAAGGGAAATGCTTCTTGTTCATTCTACGAGTGCCATCTCAAGAGAAAACATCCCCTTTCAGGTTTGCATTAGTGAGTGGGTACAACCTACCGCGTTTATTGCTTTATCACAAAGATGAGGAAATGTTGAGAGGCCGTTCCTGTGACAGGTTGTCCTTTGTTTTCTTTGCATCTTGTTCAGTTTCACATTTTCTTCTCCAATTGAAAATGAGAAATTTTATCCATCATCGGGTGTATCTTTTTTTTTTTGTTTTTTTTGCTGGACCCATATTCATGACATTCATTTGTGTTTGCGAGCCCTTGCTTGGACAGATCAGTCTCTTATTGGTGGTGAACATGGACATGCCACAGAGACCAGACTTTATTCCACTATCAAGAGTGTTGGGGACGAGGAAGAACAAAACTGTCCTCAAGGCTGTTTCCCTTCATTGTTCATGGCGTTTGAAGAGATCAGAACCAAGTCTACCACCGGGACCACAGCTTTCAAAGAATGCGTTTATTAAATGCTTAGTATTACACATCAGACTGGAGAACCTTGAATAGAATGTCATTTCAGTGGCCTCCTGAGAGGAGACCATGTTAAATTAGCCTTCCACTTGGCCAACTTTGAGGGCTTTTCTAAATTAGGACAAATTCTACTCTCGTTGAGTAAAATACTCGTCCAGGGTTGGTGAGAGAAGGCAGGAGTTTGAATGGATTGTTAGAAACACTTCGACAGATTTGGTCCTCTCTGGCAGGCTCACGGTTCAAATGACTAATTTGGAGTTCTCTAACTCAATCCAATCTGCCCTGGTCCAGTGTCAATGGGAATAAGCCCAAGTTCTTGCTACATGAGACTGGTTCAGAGCCAAAGCTGTAGACGTCATCGACAGCTGAATTAGTCATGTTGGGGTTTTGATGATTGTTTTAGGTGAACTATCATTGACATGTTGTTCCTGTAACTGTTGTGTTTTAGTTCTGGGTGCAGCCTAGTCACCCTGATTCAGTTGTGGTCCTTAAGAAACTGGAAGATGAGGTATTCCCTTTGGGTTCTAACTAATTATATTAAAGCAGAGGCATTCCACCAGCCAGTAGCACTTCCACTTTTGCCATACACTGCAAGTCGTATCTCTTGAACTTCATCACGTCACCAAGTTCCCTTTGGAGGAGAAGAACTTTTGGCATTTACTAGGCGGTGGGTTTATAAAACAGGATAAATACTTGTTATCGTTGGTTTGCAGGCTTTCTTATTTGGGGCATGAAACTTCTTTCTGCTACAGACTCTTAAAGTCCTAAAGAAGCAGTACAGCCTGAACCATGTAAATCACGTTCAGGACATACCTGAGCACTTAGGATCTAACATGCATCCAAAGTAGTTCTAAGGAAAATCTGGCACCAAAGCTTAAAGAATATCAGGAAGCATGCCTGTGCAAGAGTAATAAACCCAGGTCCTTCTAGCCCCCATATTTTGGTTAATTTTCTGGGAATTTGCTTTTGAAAAAACACTTGTTTAATTAGGCAAAGTGGGCAATGTGATATGAGGAAGACACCAAGATAACCTGATGAATAGATGGGAAAAAATAACAATTTTGCAGACCTTTTGAAAAGTTCTAAGATTTTTATAAATCTGTGTTGATTTATTTTATATAAAATATTTTTTATTGATTTTAGAGAGAGGAAGGGAAAGGAAGCAAATCATCACTGTGAGAGAGATACATCTATCAGCTGCCTCCGGCAAGCCTCCTGCACTGGGGGTCAAGCCTGCAACCCAGGCATGAATCAAACCATTGACTTTTGGGTGCATGGATGATGCTCAACTAATTGAGCATACTGACAAGGGCATAACTAATTTATTTTAAAGATTCAAGACAAGAAAAAGCACCCTGTTAGAAGCACTGTCCTATGGAGAAAAGATTCTTTTTTATAAATTAATATTTTATAATAATATTCCATGGAAGAATTATCTTCTGTTAAGAATGTTGCTCTTAAAGGGATAGAAACTCACTGGAGATGTTTCCTCCCTTTGCCCACCCCCAAATACAAACACCATGGACCATAGTTCTTCTCCAGAAAAATGTAGACATACCTAAGTTTATTCAAGCACATACCTAAGTTTATTCAAGCACTCAAGCCTGGATGCTTATACTTGAGAATTAGATTTTGTTTGGACATGTTAGAAGATTTTAAAAGGCAGGAATTGACAATTAACTCTAATTTTTTTAAAAAGGAGTTTGCAATTCTATTTTATTTCATACGGATGATTGTAATCACAGTGGAAATTAAGAATGTGGTTCAAGTTTCAACAAGATGTATATTTTGGGTGAGAGAAAATAAAAGTAACCTTTTTAGTAAACTCATGGTCATACACATTTTCAAAGTATAAAAATTTGGCAAGTACTCTCAAAGTACAAAAAAAATTAAAACAACCTTTTTATATAGCTGAAAATGTGTGTATGATACACAGATAAGTACTTGGTCATTACTAGATCAGTTCTTATGTGAACCCTAATATCCAGATTATTCTCTTATTAATCTGATTCTAGCCTCTAATCTCTAAATTCTGTGGTATTTAAAACACATTCTTGGATGTTGTGGAGGCTGAGTAAGTGTTAAACAATAATATTTTACTGGGAAAGGGAAAAATAGGGCTTTTGTCTACTCTTGAACCCCCTGTTCTCTGCAAGCATTTTATGGCTCCTTTGATACTGGCTTTATTCATTCCTACCACAGGGCAATTATTCAGGGTAAATGGCTATCCCGTGTGTCTTGTGTTCCACCTCTAGACTTATCTAATCAAATTCAAACTAAAAAATGCAATGATAAAAGCAATGAAAATACCACTTCATTTTCTGTGTACCAGTCTCCTCACCCATAGCTTCGACTTAAATTTTTTATTTATCAAATATATTTCAATCCATAAACTTTTTTTTGTCATTCGAAATGAGTGATATGAATTTTTATTTATTACTGAATGGCCCCTTGTTTATCTATTCTTTTAAGAAATACCATTAGGTATATGTATATTCCATTAGAAAGTACAAACATATTTATATACTACAATCCAGCCATCATACTGAAACAAGGGAAAAGAGGTAATTTGTGCCAAAATCATCCCTCTAACATTACCTAAAATTCATTAGCTTACAAATGCCTTCCTTCCATTTTGAGTAAGGCATCTGTCTTTTCTGGTCAGTTGAGTTACACCAGTTCTGCCAAGCTCCAAGCACTGGCTTCTCTAAAACCCAGATCATGCTATGTTTTGCCACTGTCATGTTTTTCAGTGACTCAAAGATACAAACGATGATTTTAGCTTCAACTTAGAAAGTTTTATTTGCTTTTATCCTTATTGTTTTGCCCTTTTATTTAGCAAAAGAGTAAAAATGAGCCATTTCTCATTCCCAAGATTAAAAATTTCAGGAAGCCAATTTTCTACTAGAGAGGTGCGTAAGGCTAATACCTTGGTCTTTTCCTGGTTAGTTTTATATTAGACACCTCTGGTCACACACTGTAAATCCTACAGATGAGATACTACATGATGTGCAGAGAAGCTAAACTGAAACTACTTCTTATATGTGACTCTGATTTGATAAGGACCTGAGAAAAAGAAACAGGCTCTGCATAAATAACGTTCATTATGAACCTCTCTGTTTATTAGTAATATGTCTATTAGTAATGTCTATTTCTATTACTAATATGTTTATTAGTAATTAGTAACTACACATAGTTCAGCCAGACTTTGATGCCCAAATATAAACATGTTAGCATTACATTTTGAAGGAGAATTTAGCTGGGATATATCTCCAAGGATATGTTCTATAAATTCATCTTTGATGTGTGCATTCCATTGATGAAATGCTACATCCTTTACATAGAACAACTACTTACTAAAGCTATAAACTTGACCTATTTCTTAGAAATGAACATCTCTAGCCATAGAGAAAATTTTGGTGCTTATTATGATCCTCCCTTGGAATTATCATCATGAAATTACCATTATGTTTTGACATATAACACTCTCTGAGTAATGTGCATTTTTTTCTTTTCTTGCGACATTTTTTTCTCACACTCTGAATGAAAAGAGACAAGTGGACCGCCTCAACTTCATTTTCTCTGCCCAATTATTAGCAAAACATTTTATTACCCACTCCCTTTTAGTGTTTTAAAAGCAATAAACTCACTACAAACATCAAATATAAAACAAGGAAGCATGTTATAAACATTACTTTTCATGTTCAAACCATCTTACATCAACTAACTTCTTTTCTCTACCTTAATGGGAGGTAGGTGGTAAGTATTAACCTCCCTTTATGGCTAAGGGAACTGAGGTAACATTTAGATGTCAATGAAGAACCCATTCCAATGAAAGCTTTGCTTGGTATTTGGGAGAAACTTGTTTGTACTTTTGTGCATGTGGTAATTGAATTCTCTTTCCAATTTATGACACATGTTAAAAATGTACACTTAATAAGGAGATGTCATTTTCAAATATTCCAGCAACATAGCCTGGATTGTTTATCAGAACTTATTGCATTGTTCCGTTGAGGTAATTTTCTGTCTTCATAGAAAGGTCATAGATGGTACAAGGTCATATATGTATAAAAATAATGTACATTGCTCTTTTGAACCTGATATTAAAAGAACAAGAAAGTTTTAAAAACATGTTCGGGGGACTCCTTATAGAATTCTGTATTATCTATCCCAAATGGTACAATTATGATATAATTACATTATTTCATAAGAACTTTGATAAAACTCCATTTGGGAATTATTGCTTTTCTTTTGGTGGAAATGTAAGACTTTAAAAATTTGATGGATATGCCTGTGTTGACCACATCATGATTAACCAGTTGTAAACACAACGTGGAAAGCATCTGATTGCCGATCTAAACACCAGTTCTTCTCCCTACAACTGCCACTTGGTATTTAGATAGCTCATTTTTTAAAAATGAAAATGAATGAATATAGTGTTTCTCTTTTTTTCCTGGACAGTTGCTGACTCTGGATTCCTCTGTGGCATATTTGACTCTAAAAACTATTTGTAAATGATTCTCCTTTTGCAAAGGCAAAGCAGAAATGAATTACCCATAAACCAAATAATCACATTGGCATCATCCACAGAATTATAGTGTTCTCTGGGGCACAATACATCTCTTTTTTTCACCCCCACTGCCATTATAAACAGCTATTATACATGCATGAAGAATGATAAAGGATCATGGACCCATGATAGTATTTTCAGCTTCACCCAACACTAAAATAGTGGCCACTACCAGTAGTCATTCTTGCATATAAAATACACACATACACAGCAAATTTGGGGGGAGCAGGTTGCTGCTTTTATAAACTGTGTGATATGTTTGAGTGCAGCTCTTTGATATTGATCATTTCTCGTCCGAGTTCTACTGACAGATTAATTACTTTGCCAGCCTTTTAAATCTAAATCCATTTAAAAAAAAAACAAAACACTTGTCTGCCCATGTGACTATTCACTCAGTAGTCACAGAGACTTCAGGCTGCAAACATGTGCTGAATGTGCCCCTTCACCCAAATGGATTCTGTGTCTGATGTGTTTGATATTCGTCCATCTTACTTTCATTTAAATTGAAATCTTCAAAAAGGTGTTCTCATCCATGTGGTAGAGTTGTTTGTGTTTGTTTGTCACTACCTTTTTCCCTCCCCCTGGGAAAAAAAATTGAGATTAGAATATGACATCTCAAACTTCTTGGTGGTTTCCAAACCAGGGGTGTGATCGAACCAATGTTTTGCTGAATGATAACTATGACACCGTGATTGAAAACAGAATCTCAATTTTGGCAGCTCGGGGCTACAAAGGCCTTGTCCTTCCTCCCAAACCTTTGAAAACTCCCATCTCAGGGGCTCTTTCCCAACCTTCCTTCAAAGATAATGGTATCTTTGAAGTGACTGTTTCGTATAAGTGACTTAGGCTAACACCCACCAGAGGATGATCTTCCGTACTGTCTCCAGGCACACTAACACTGTTGGTGCTTGGCAGGGTGGCAAGTGTGCAGAGCGAACCTGGCCAACAGAACCTCCTCATCCAGCAGCCGCTGGGGAGGAAGAGGGGCCTGAGGCAGGTAAGCAGACCTGGGAAGGGCAGGAGAGTCACCCCATGAAATAGATTGAAGCCCTATTGAATTTTGAATGTCCGTATATATTGAGATTATATTTTTGCCTTCTTCCCACCCAAAACAAGCAGTACAGAGCCCATGTAAAGCATGGTAAGTGCTTGAGCCATCTGAGAGCTTTTAGCTCCTATGTTAGCTCATATGAACGGAGCTGATGACTTAGTGAAGCGAGTAGGCCTATGCTTCTATCTGTTCCCTCTCCAGAAGCTTTCTTCCCCAGCCAAATTCATAACCCAGGGCGATTTGTTTTAAAGTTGATGTTTGTGTAAAGGCATAGACACAGTTGTCCTTTCTTCCTCATTTCAAGGTAAATGATTCAAATTAAAATTGAAACCAAAGTAAAGATTATGAATTTCCTTAGGTGGGTTTCCTTTACATAACACTCTAAGTAAAAATTGAAGTGAGCCTTTGCTCTCTTATTGTGATGGGAGCATCCCAGCATTGATTTGGACACCAGACACTTCTCAATATCTGAGGTTTTTTTTCATCAACCCCCCAACTCCCTTGAGAGGTCACATAGGTTCAACTGCAACTTTTAGGTGAACAAAAGCCGATCTGTAAGCAATAATCGTTAGTCTTATATCCTAAAATTCATTGAAATTCTCACATTGGCTACTTTAAATGATGTTAATGTTCTTAGCCTATATGAAGGTGTAATGATCAGGAGATAGGATTGGTTAAAGGGGATGTCAGAATCAAATACTTGCAGTCAGACATGCAGAAAGAAGTTTACCAGCTACAAACGAAAAGAACAATCAGAAGAGTCCACAGAAACCCATAAAGTAGGGAGTAAACCATAGAATCCTCAGAGCATAGCGTTTTCTCCTGGGCAGTCAGCTTCATTCTGCCTATTTTCTCTTTAGCTAAGACGTCCTCTACTGTCACGTCAGAAGACTCAGAATGAATCCAGAAACCGCCATGGAGCTCGGCTGTCAACCACTCGGAGGAGCATTCAACCTAAAACGAAGCCATCTGGTGAGGTTCCTGTGTCCCTTCTGATTACACCATTGACACGATGCCATGCGACTCAGCCTGGGGACCTGCAGAAATTTACGCACATAAGCTCCTTTTTGGGAAGACACTAGGATCAGGGAAGAAGTTTCCCAGAAAACTTTAGTGCCTTTTTTTCTTCTTACCTTTCCCAACCCCCATCCTTACCTTCAAGAATCTAGAGAGTCCTAACCGGTTTGGCTCAGTGGATAGAGCGTCAGCCTGCGGACTGAAGGGTCCCAGGTTCGATTCTGGTCAAAGTCATGTACCTTTGTTGCGGGCACATCCCCAGTAGGGGGTGTGCAGGAGGCAGCTGAACGATGTTTCCAAGTCTCTATTCCTCTCCCTTCCTCTCTGTAAAAAATCAATAAAATATATTTTGTAAAAGAATCTAGAGAAATGGCAAAGTCCAAGGTAAACTATAAATGCCATTAGATTTAACTATAGAAGGTTGTGTTTTCTTTACCCAAGCCAGGGACTGAGTTTGTTATACGTCGTACTGAAGACAAAGACATGGTAGATAATGGGGACTTTAAAATCCTGTTGGCAGTTATTATGAGGACCAAGTTCACCTAATGCTCTCTGCAAATCTTGTTCTTGGGCCACTTATGTAAAAATGATTTTTCTACCCAAATCCTACTTTTTATAAGAAGATGAAATCAAAATATATACATAATAGTCAAGTATGCTTTCACTTATTAATAAACCAACAACATCTTTATTAAGAAAAGCCAGGAGATACCAATTATAAAGCAATGACTACATATTTCCCCTCTATTTACTGCTTTACCTCTCACTTGCAGTGGATCAGAAACGATCTGTGACCTTCATTGAGGCTCAGCCGGCTCAGCCAGAGCTAGCAGGTGCCCCAACAGACACACTTCCTGCCACAGTCCAGCCACAAGGCTGCAGCCCAGCCCCATCTGGGAAGCCAGAAGGAATGGACAAACCAGTCCTCACATCCTCCCCGGCCACTGTTGTTGCTGATCTTCACAGACTGTCTCCCAAGCAGGTGAGGGTGCTAGAGAAACAGGCAAGGCTTGCTCCCTGCATACTTATGTCTAGGAACCACTTGGATATGCACACTTATTGCCTAACATTTAAATCTAGACCTGTAATGTTGTGTTAGCCAGACAGATGATGGTCCTATCATCATGAAAAAGAAGACCATATAAAGTATATGGCCAGGAATACATTTACTTAAGAAGCAATAGGAGAAGTCTTGGTATTCTTTATTATGAGAAACCTCAGAGAAAATATTGCACAGTTAAAATATCCATTGAAACCCATATATGATTCATAGTTTAAAGATAGTTCTGTTTTTAAAAAGGTACCAATTTAGATGCAGCCTTTAAATAGAGAGCCTTCTGAATCCTGTAAGATGAGAGGGACTTCTTGGTTTGATCTTTCCCCTCATTGTTATGATATTTTTTCTTCTTTTGATTTTTATAAATGAATTCCCACAGGTCCAACTTCCTTCTCATGTACTTGAAGAAAGCAAAGGGGCAATATTACTAGATACATTTGTGTAGTCTTCAATGGTTAAAAAGTATTGTAACAGCAAGAGCTCATTTATCCTCACAGTGTACGAGGTTAGCAGAGCAAAAATTATGCTCATGCAACAGGTTAGAAAACTGAGGCTTAGAAAGTTGGAGGGCCTCCAGAAAAGCTCACATCTAACAAAGGCTAGAAATGAGATGAGCCTTGAAAATCCTGTCCAGTTACAGCTGGACAACATTTTTTTATACTTTTCCCTGGCACCCATTCGACTTTCCTCTGACATTATGGTCTGTTTGATCATAGAGTGAGACCCTCCCTGCTGAAGAAGGAGAAAAGAAGGAGGACCCAGAAGTACCAGGTGCTGCAGCACACAGCCCCCTCTCTACTCAAATCTCAGACCCCGATGACTTCACAGGCCTTGAGACGTCCATCCTCCTGCAGCACGGAGACACTGTCCTTCACATCAGCGAAGAGAACGGCATGGAGAACCCCCTGCTGTCCAGCCAGTTCACTTTCACTCCCACGGAGCTGGGGGAGGCTGGTGTAGACCTGGATGAGTCACATGTTTAGTTCTGTATCTTGTCTGAGTTGCAGGTGTAGACAAGATGAGGGAGGGATCACTTAGCTAAAAGTTGAATACTTTTGCTTGAAAAAAAAAAAGATGAAAACACAGCACTTTATATCCAATAGGTGACACAAATCTCAGTAGATTTTGCTGCCAGTGCACATATTGTTTCATAAACATCTTTTAAAAAACAATGGCTAAGATTAGTTAATTGTATGAAGACCATAAAGACCAGGGAGTAATAAGGGGGAAGAGCCGTTTGCACATTGTTTGTGATTCAAGAAGGCTTGAGCAGTTAAAAACATACTATTACAGAGCTGCTTAGCTAGAAATATTAACAAATAATATATTCTAAAAGAGAATGCATTTGAGGTTATTCACATTATACATCTCATGCAAATGTTTATTTTTATAGTTTCAAAAATATTAAACCAGGTGGTTGTACAAGTAGCAATTTACATAAAAATAACAAATAATAAAAACAGTAGTTTAGGGGAAACTAAATAATAAATAAGCCCACAGACATTTTTGTTTTGATCAACAACGCAGCCATGTAGATGAAGGAAAACATATTATTTTTAGAGCTGTGGACTTTTCAATATTTGCTTTTCAACCGTCATTTTTATTGCATGTTGTAAATCAGAATACTAATGCCATAAGGTCATTCTGTTCATAATCAATCACTGTAGAGAGAATACTCTAGAAATTATCAAATGTAATTCTGAATTAGGAAGAACCTAAACAACCCATACTATAATAAAAATGAAATATAACTATAATACTTAGAAAAAGATGGTATTCCTATTTCTAGCCCTAACTACATCTTGCCAATATTAGGAAATACTGCAAAGTGTGATTAGTTTCCTTATAGTAGTGCCTACCCTCGGGGACATATTTTCAGATATTAAAGTTATTGTTAGAATAGGTTCACTAAAATAGCTTCCAAATGTTAACAGTATTCTTATCATCCTTTAGACATTTGAGTTTATGAGGAAAAAAATATAAATTGAGCCATCACTTCATGGACAAAATCAGCTTATGAATTTACTTTAACTTGAAGTTCAGTTACTCAAGCAAAGTATAAAACTTAAAAGGCTTGCGACGCCATATCTAGTATGTTATTGATGCTATAGTAGGGCTAGGTATAATACAGTTCAAAACTGAATTTCAGAAATGTAACAGTTTACATTAGAAAACTGTTACAGAACTACTAATTATATAAAAATGCATATATTTACCTAAATTGGTATGGTGGTGTGTGTGTGAGTGAGTGGGTGTGTTTTCTAGTCCTCCAGTTGAAGTTAAATACAGATATTTACTATTGCAATGAATTCATAACACATTCTATATGCTTAAACTTTGACTATGTTGACCATGAAAAGTATATGTATATATAGAGGAGACCTATTAAACCCACCCAAATCACAAAGGAAAATTATTTTTCTGTTAGAATCCTTTATTAAATAGGCATTGTTTACACTGTGGTTTGTACTTCCAAATATAATTTGGGGTTTTGGTCCAATTTACTATGAGAATGAAAGGTATCTGTGAGTTAAAGACAATAATGGACAAAACTAAAAATTTCCAATCTAAAGCTTCAGAAAATAGAGCTTCAGAAAGCAGGGGCTTCTTTTATGTTTTAAAACACTTTCAGAATATAGACACTTAACACTGAATTATGCAGAAATATAATGTAAGTGGGTTTATAACTCTTTCTAAGCTGATGTATTTTGCCTGTTAAAAATTATGCTGCTCAATTAGTGTTAGAGGCCTTATGTTTGGTAATTACATGTGTCTGAGCTATCTGAGTCTCTATATATGTCTGTGTTTTGTTCCAGTTACTTGATTCTTGATTCAAATTCTCTATGTGTAATTGTATAACATATTTAAAAAGTAAAGGGGTCAAAGAAGATTGTTAAATATCTGCTAAGAATACCTTTATATGTAAAAAGTATTGAACATATTTATGCTTACCCGTCTGCCTTTTAGCCTGACTCCTTCACTCTAGGGTTATAGATGGCTGTTGGAAACTTTTCCAATAAGCTAAGTATTGTTGTGTCTTGCAAAAAAAGCCACCACTCTGAGAAGCAGGGCCTTGGAGGGTGGGAATGTTTTCATACTGGGATTACTGAGATTTTGCAGATGTACGTATGCATCTGTTCCATTTAAGGTGCCCTTAAATGTGTTGAATGTAATTTATTGAATGTTCATGTGCAATTGATAAAGTATCTAAATGTATGTGCATAAGATTGTCACAAGCTGTATTCTCAGGAATACTGTTACCTGGAGTTTGAAGGAATAGCTATTTTAAAAAAAAAATAGTAGTGGGAGATTAGAGAAACGTTTAAGATAGTTAACAAATTTTTGCAATGTTCAAATTATTGAGCATATGACTAAAAGTAATTATATATGATAAATACAGTATTGATAATACTATATCATTTCTTAAGCTATGATGCTTAATGATATTCATTTTGTTCAGAGGAAAATTAAAACAGGCACTTACATCCCATGTGTAAAAAATTGGACTCAACTGAGAGGTTGCTTTTTCAGAAATTAACTTTTGAGAGAAATTGGAATAAATACGTATCATCCATATTAGTGGGTGTAGATTTATAGTACTCAGTTTCAATTAAAGCAGTTCCATCCTAGGTACAGCATTTTCTATAGAAAAACATTTTACTCTCATTTTTCCGGTATTTGCTGCTTTCTATAATTCTATTAGATGCGTTATTTGATTTTTTTTCCAATAGAAGGAATCTGAATTGTTGAGTACATTGGGACAGTGCACTGGGAACTAGTGTCAAAAAGCATAATTGGGCATGGCAGTGCTGGGAAAACAATCTCTGGTATTTGGGGGTCTGGCTAGAGCTTGTTGAGTAGGCTGAAAGTAACTGGTTTGCTATTTCAGGCCTCCAAGAGTACCTAAGGCAGTGTGACAGCTCCCTTCTTTAGTATCTGTCCTTTTAGTCAATGAAGAATATTCTCCACTCAGCTGTCCAACTCCAACAGTATCTGAGATGAGAATAGGGTGTGTATAGGGACCTACAGGAAAGAAAGGGTCAGGAATAGAATTATAGTCTAAAACACAAATACCCTTCCTCAAATCTAGAATTTGCCGCTGTCACACCAAGCCATGCTGTTGCCATGTGACTGCACACTGCCCATGCCATGGCTTGTCATTGGCAGTGAGTAGGAAGTCCACTTCCTCATTTACTTTAGTGGACCTCAACTGCAGCAATTCAGAAACAGAGTTTGGTTTGACACTCAGGACAATAAAGACAAGTTAAGAGTAGAATGTATTTGGAAAAGCTTAAGGCAAATTTATTTATATTGTTTTAGGATCATTTAGCATTACAGATCAATGTACCTCCATAATATATTTCGATAGTCACTGTGACTGAAGGATAAAAATCCTTTATTAGCCATTTTGTAGGTAAAAAACAAATGATTACACAGCCAACTTCCCTCAGATGACTTAAGAAGTCTGTTATAAATACTGGATGACCAAAGAGCATGGAAAAATGCCTATGAATTAATACTGAAATGTTTATGAAAGATATTTATGAAAGATATTAAGACTTCTGTGTTTGAATATGCACATATATAATAAAATAACTCTATAAAAACACTTAAGAGGACTGATTGTTTCATTTCTCATTTCTTAACATAGGGAATAGTTTAACTCATTCAGGAAAGTATTCCCTTTGGAGCCCTGCGTGTGCCTTGGTGTCTCTCCTCAATCCCCTACTGGGCCTGAGGTCACCCTTCAATTAGACACATCCAATTCCTCCCCAATCCCAACTGTGCTCCCTTCTACTCATATATTCTACCCTAACTTTCAAAAGTAAAGCAGAATGGGCATATTGGGAGACAGATACCCCAACTTGACTTCTTTGCCCAGATGATGACCTGGAATGACTGGTAGATTTCCCAGGAGGAATGTTAAGGACCTGATTGTCCTCTGAATGTGGCCAGAACCATCATGGGGTTCAAGTTATTACCAGTCTGCCTTTTATACAGAGTACATAGTGCCCTATCCTTACCCTCCAAGGTATGTTCTTGCTAAATTCATTTTTTCCCTCACATGGTTATTTCCTGTCTTTTCCTGACCCAAAGACTCTAGACACATTTGGCAGAAGAATAAACACTCTTATTCCTCTTCAATTGTGTCTGAACAGTAAATAAATGGAGTATAATCTGTCAATGAACATTCCTGAGAGGGAAAAACCAAGACGATAAGAGGAATGAGGACAAGAAGCAGAGAAGGAGAGTTGTAATTATAACCACCATTATTTTGTTCTGGGCACCAGGCATCATGTGCTGGGCACATCACCAGGATTTGCTTATTTAATCCTCACAACACTGGACACTGTCTTAACAGATGAGAAAACAATGAAGCAGGGAGAAGTGACTTTCCAGGTCATTGTGGACTCAGAGAAGAAAGATTTATTTGATGTGAACCCCTAGAAGAAATTTATCTGCTGAGATGGACTCCCCATGGTCAACTGAGGGCCCAGATTTTGCATTTTATTTTTATTTTCCAGTTACAGTTCACTTTCAGTATTACTTTGTGTTGGTTTCAGGTGAACAGCATAGTGGCTAGACAGTCCTGTACTGTACAAACTGTTCTCCCCAATATTTACAGAACCCACCTGGCACCTTACATAGTTATTGCAATATTATTGACTCTATTTCCTGTGCGATACTTTACATCCCTGTGACCATTTTGCAACTACCAATTTGTACTTCCTAATGCCTTCACCCAGTCCCCCAACCTTCCCCTCTGGCGACCACCAGTCCACTCTCTGTGTCTGTGAGTCTCAATGTTGTTTGTTCATTTCTCTTGTTCTTTAGATTCCACATATAAGTGAGATCACATGGTATTTGCAATACCATGGATGGACTTAGAGAGGATATTTTATGCTCAGTGAACAACTCAGTCAAATAATAAGAGCCAAGTGGCCATTTGCTGACAAGGGGTTCTCATCTACTCTGTACCAGGAAGAACCACAGTGGGAATTCTAAGCTTCCTGCTCATTTACTCCCAGGGAGCCAACTCTCATAAGAGGTTTCATTTTCCCACCAATGGACAAGGACCAGCCCAACCAGAGCAGAACTGCCCCATAACGACCAATCAGGATGTATAATGCTGACCAATCAGCGCTCCACGATGCTGACCAATCAGATGTGTAGGATTTGGGGTACCTCGTTTACATAAAATGGACCTAATTGAAAACTTGGGCAGAGACTTTACTTATATAAGGCAGCCTCCCCTTTGTCTCAGGGGAGCACAATTCAGGTTTTATACCTGGGTCCGTGTCTCCTACAGCTGCTTTTGCTCAAATCCATGCTTTCTAATCCTTATTATAGTCTAACATTAATTTTGGGTTACCTCACCCAGCTAGTGTCTGATAGAGCTATGATCCTGCCCCAAATCTGACTCCTTCAGCTTTTAGGACCAGTTCACGGAGAGAGAAATAAGGAAGAAGTGGTTTTTGCTTTGTGTTTTTTAAGGGTAACGGGGTGGACATGAAAGGCACACCAATGATGGAGAAACGGATAGTAAAGCGAGGGGGGAAAGAAACTGTAGGAAGGTAACGTGTTACAAGGTGAAGAAACTCGAGTTCTCAGAGGACTAAAGCCGGTCTGAAAAAACGAAGGTCAGAGCCAGGGGCCTTGCTGCGAGGCCCCGCCCCCAACCGGAAGGCGGGACTTCCTCCTCCCCGGGCCGCTGCTTCCGGCGGAGTCCGGAAGACTCCGAGGGGAAGAGGCCGTGTCAGAACCGAGCCGCCAATCGCAGCGGCGCCTTCGCCTGGCCCGGGATTCGGGAGGTAACTTGCTCTGGGGAAGCAGCACCATGGCGTCGGGCTGCAAGATTGGGCCGTCCATCCTCAACAGCGACCTGGCCAACTTGGGCGCCGAGTGCCTGCGCATGCTGGACTCCGGCGCCGACTACCTGCACCTGGATGTAATGGACGGGTAACTCCGCGGGGCTCGGGCCCGG